TTGTGGGTCAAGAATTTGGTTGCAGCTTAGCTGGATGGTTCTGGCTCATGGTCTCTCATGAGGATGCAGTCAAGATGTTGGCTGGGGCAACAGTCATTTGGAGTTCAACTGGGGCTGGAGTATCCACTTCCAAGGTAGCTTCCCACCTGCCTGGCGAGTTTTTAACAAGAGGCCTCAGTTGCTTGCCATATGGACCTTTCCATAGGGCTGCTTGAGTGTGTCCATGACATGAAATCCAGTGATCCAAGAGAGAACAATAAGCGAGAGCCAGGCTCTGTTATGACCTAACCTTGGAAGTCACACACTGTAATTTCCACAATATCCTATTGGTTATCACAGGTCTGCTTTATTTGGTGTGGCAGGGGACTTCACAAGGGCATGAATACCAGGAGGCAAGAATCATTGTGGCCATTTTGGAGGCTGGCTACCAAGCTTTGGTAACTGTAAACGAGGGGAATTGGAATATACAAGCAATTCGAGGATTGTTTGGACCAGGGAAAGGGGGATATAAAAATAATTTGAATATTGTTGAACATAGTGTCAGAATTGATATCTTGAGATCCAAAACATCACTGTGGCCTCTGTTAGAATGGGGGCATATGGGGAGCAAGGTAATAAATAGAATCTTGGCCAAGATCCAACTCACAATGGGTACTCTGTGTCACTACCCAGTTTGCAAATGTGTAATTGGAATAGAATATTTGGAAGTCGGTGGAATACCCACAGTGGGTCTTTCATCTGTGGGGTAAAAACTATCATGAGATATGTGGAAGATAAACTAACACACTGACAAAGAGAACAGTTTAGTGGTTGCCAGAGGGGAAGGGGGTTGGGGGTGGGCACAAGGGATGAAGGGGCACATATATGTGGTGACTGACAAATAATAATATACAACTGAAATTTCACAATGTTATAAACTATTATGACCTCAATAGAAAAATATTAAGTCAGTAATAGCACAAGTATTACAAAAATATTTAAAAATCATACAAGTGGTATGCTAATGACCAAAAAAAAAAAAAAACTATCATGGGAATGCCAAATGGAGGCCTCTATAACTGTTCCCACCCCTGGTCAAGATAGTAAATAAAATACAATACCACATCATAGGAGGAATGACAGAAAATTGTACCAGTCTTAAGGATGTAAAGGACTCAGGGGTGGTGGTTCTTGTCATATTTCCCTTTAATTCACCAATCTGCCCCTGCAGAAACCAGATTCATCCCGGAGGTTGGCTGAGAGTTCTATAAACTCACTCAATAGTAGCCCCAATCAAAGCTGCTATGCCAGACGTGCTCTCTCTGCTTGAGCCGATAATAAAGGCTCAGGTATATGGTATGTGAACAATGATTGGCAAATGTGTTCTTTTCTATCCCTATCAGATGCCATTTGCATTCACATGGAGCAGATGACATATACATTTAATTTTGCCCAAGGATTATACCCTTCCACCCTCTGTCATGGTCTGAAAAGATCTGGACCATCTACCATCTGGGTATCCACAGAATATCACACTGATTCACCACTTTGATGACATCATGCTAATCAAGTAGATTAGTGAGAAATGACTGGCACATTGGAGGCCTTGGCAAGAAAAATGAACTGCAAAGAGTAGAAGATAATCCATGTGAAGAGTCAAGGACCTGCTACATAAGAACAACTTTGAGTGCCCAGTGGTCGAGGGCATGCTGGGCCATATCATCCAAAGTAAAGGATGAATTGTCACATCTTGCACCTCCTACGTGAAGAGGGGAGCACAGTACCTGACAGAACTCTTCAGGTTTCGGAGACAGCATAGTTCATAACTGGGAACACTTCTCTGGCCTGTATACCACAGGCTGTGACACCAAAGCCTGCCACCTATGCAGCCCAGAGTAGGCAAGTTCCCTGCAGAGTAGCGAAGTCCAGGCTGTGGTGAAAGCAGCCCTGCTGTTTGGGCCATAAGACTCGGCAGAACTCGGGATTGGAGGCATCAGTGGTTGGAAAAGGTGCCATGTGGAATTCGTGGCACACTCCGGTGGGAGAATCACAACACAGGCTTCTAGAGGTCTGGAGCAAGGTGTGCAGTCTACAGTGGGGAATCCTGTGTGCTTTGTAAAACTGCTGCAGTGCTGTGGGCCCTCAGAGGACCAGGGGACATGAGGTGACCGTATGTCCAAAACTGCCTGTCATGAGGTAAGTTGTGTCAAACCTAACAAGTCATAAAGTTGGGTAGGCTCAGCAATGATCCATTGTTCAACAGAAGAGTCCCATTGAGTTATAAGCTATGGCTGCCACCCGAACACCTTATCCTCTTTGGGTCCAGCACTCAGTTGGCAAGGAAAGGAGCCCCCATCTTGGCGGGAGTAATTGACCCAGGTCGTCTGGAGGAGACAGGCTGCTTTTAAACCAGAGGGTATGGAGGAATATGTTTGACTCCCACGTGATCTGTTTAGGTGCCTCTTGGTATTCCCTTCCCCAGCTGTGACAGTAAAAAGATAAGTGCTGCCACCCTAGCTGGAGAAGGCATAGTGAGGAGGGGCTCAGACCCCCAGATGAAGGTCTGAGTCAGGCCACCTGGTAAGCTACCCAGGACAGTGGAGGAGGCAGCTGATCATTAGGGTAATCTACAATAAATAATGGAGGAAGGAGAATATGAGTACCCATTGTAGCCCCAAGACCAGCTGCAGAGGCCAAGGCTGTAATTTATCTCACTAGCCTTCCTCTTCTAAGTTTCCCCCAGGATTGGAGGCCATTGGAATCCCAGAGGAGCCCCTTCCCAAACAGGTGAAGTACACTCAGGTAGCACCCGTGGTGGAGTAGGCCAGCAGTATACCCTGGTTTTCATGGACAAGAAAGGAGTAGCTGAGATTGTTGGCTACTGGAAGGAACCAGAGGCCTCAACTCATTATGTCCTGCTGGATAGAGACTCACGGGCCTTGGGCAGAAAATCCAGGTAGAGAGGAAATGCTGCATTGGAACCTAGGAGAAGGCCCTGAGGAAATCAAATATGTGCTACTTATAACACCCACCTCAACTAGAGCAGGGGATCAGTGAGGATCCTTCAGGTGCTGAGCAGGGAGAAGCCGGGAGGTGTGAATGGCTCCTCATAAGAAAGGTGTTTGGTGGGAGGGAGCCTGCCCAGGCAGACAAGGGAGGAGACAGTGATGAGCCCTCCCTGTGCTGTGTCTTGGGGAACATGGTCTCTGTCCCCTGTGAAGACGTCAGTAAAGTATACATCTCTCTTGAGGAGTTTGGTAGTTGGACTGACTTTTGCTGAGTGGAGCTGTCTGCTCTCAGAGGAGGAACGAGGGCAGAGATGCCCCTGCGAGTCCCAGGCATATTCTGCCTCCAATGAGTTAGCTACTCTCATTTCAGTAGTGGTTGTGTGGCTTCCCGTGGGCTGTTCCTTCACAGAAATGGGATATTTCAGAAAAATCACAGAAGAGAGGATTCAAACTCATCACAGCCGCCTCTGCAGCAAGGGCTCTAGCTGCTTCAGAGGAGCTCTGCCTCCAGAACAATTGGTGGATTGTGACAGGGACCTGGTGCTTCCCTCTCCTGCCCTGCCTTCTCCATAGGCTGCCCACCAGGCCTGAGCCTCTCAGTCATACGTGTGTGGAAAATGCTCCAATAGAGAAGGTTCAGTTGGATCCTAATCTAGCATTTTGGTTGTTGAAATGATCATTTACCAATCCTGCCCTAGTGCACCTCCCTCTCCCGCACAGAAGAGCAGCGTGCTGTAGGATGGGGCTGAGGGCTGCTCCAGAGAGCAGCCCAGCAGAATCAGGCTGGGGACTAGAGGAAGGTTGGGCCCGAGGTGTGGATTGCTGGCTGTGCTGCTGCTGGAGGTAAAGGCACAAGTCTGTAGAGACTCCACGAGTGCCCAAGTACTGGCCACGGTCTTGGGTTCCTATCTGGCCATACTTGTGCACTTCACCCCTGAGGCCTGTGTGGGTTCTGCAGTTGATTTCTTACTGACTTCACTACTTCCCCCCGCCCTTAGGCTTAGGTTTTTGCTTCTGTGGTCTGCACACTAGTTCCTCTAATCCACCTTTTTCCACAGTCCAAAACTTTGATTTTTCTTGAGGAGCGGGGGTGTCTAATTCATTCTCTTTGGCCTTCCGGTTTTAGATCTTCCTTTACTTCATTTGGGTTTTCAGATGGGAGCTCAAAGCCCTCATGTTCAGTTGTCCAGGTGTAATCAGAAGTTCACTGATAGATTCTCTAATGTGTCGCTCTCCTTTCATTCCTGGAAAAAGCCCTTTGGATTCTTTGTAAGACATTGCTTAGTTCCACTTGGTAATATTTTACTCAGAACTTTTGTATCTATACTTATACGTGGGATTGTACTGATTCTCCTTTCTCTCGTTTTCTTTTTCTGAATTTTACCAGCCCCAGAAGAGGAGTTTTATGTCTTGTTGATTTTTTTGAAAATTATTTTCTCATCTCTGAATTGCACTGAAGCCTGGTGGAATGAGGGGGAATGCACTCCATGGAGTGGGAAAGAGGAGAGATCTGAAGATGTGGAAAGTTGCCATTACTACTTTAGAAGCCCTGCTGCCGGAGAAGGCAAACAAAACCTCGACACCTGACCTCTTACCGTTGGACTAGGGTAAGAGAGTGGTTGTTCAGTCGTGTTCCTTAAAATCACCTTGGAGGTGGTGATGATCTTGAGGAAAGGTCAAGAAATTAAGTCAGGATCAATTCATATTCTCTGAAGCCCAAGGAGGGACAGAGAAAACCCTAATTATTCTCATTTCAGCCAGCTTGTGTCAAGGTCAGGAACACTGGACTGACACTAGCAGAGAAAGAGCTGGAGATTTATAACTAGAAATTGAAGGATGCAGGAGGGGTGGAGGACAACCTGGGGTCTCACTGCCTGCTGTGACAAGTGGTTAAGGCCTGGGTTATCCTGGCCCAACAGAAGAGGCTGCACACTGTGAAAATCCACTCAGGATTTTCCCCTACCTCGTGCCAGGTCCTTGGAGATGAGCAGACAAGACCCTCTCAGTCTCTTGGATCTTGCAGCACAGAGCCTGCTGAATGATGAAGACTCAGCCATATGTGCCCTAGAAGAGCTCCCTGTGGGCCTCTTCCCAACACTGTCTGCTGTGGCCTTTGAAGGGGGACACACAAAGACCGTGACAGCAATGGTGCAGACCTGGCCTTTCCCCTGCCTCCATCTGGGATCATTAAGGGATCAGTCAATAACTCAAAACCTGTTGGAAGCTGTACTAGATGGGCTGGAATTGGTTCCTACCAACACTGCTTGCCCCAGGTAACTGTAGAGATGGGGTGCTGGCAGGGGCACAGTGAGTTGAGGAGGAGGGAGCTGGATTCAGGGATAGGGGGCCCAGGGATGTGCCAGAATCTCCAGGTGTACATCAGCAATCAGTGGGAGGCCTTGAGGCCATTGATTGTTTCGAGTCCCTCCAAGAGGAAAGACTTGATGTAGTTCAGAGCTGATCATGCTGCTGAGGTGGTTGAGGATGTGGTTAGGTTCCCAGGTGGTATCCCTGGACTGTATAAGAGATGGGGACAGAGGAGGATCTGAGGGTGGATGAGGATGAAAGAGTGCACTTAAAAGGCTTGGCAGACGGCGGTGGCCAGGGCTGCTGGCTGGCATAGAGGCCACTTCCCAGGGTCTGCTGCTGCCAGTCTCATACCAGCCCTGCGATGCATCCTGAAAGTCACAATCTCAGCCCTCTTCTTCATTCCCCACAGGAGATCGAAGCTAAAGGTGCTGGATTTTACCCATGACTTTGAGCACTCCAACTGGGAGGAATGCTCTGAGACCTCTCCTGCACCCTTTGTCATCACGCACATGCTGGAAGAGCCAGACGCAGACCAGCTCATGCCCAGTTCTAGAGAACAGCCTCAGAGTGACCGAGAACCTGTGGAAATATACACAGACCTTTTCTTAGGTGGTTTGTTCGGTTTCTTCCACCTGTCTGGGTTCCCATCATACATATTGCAGAGAGTCGAGAACAGCCATGGCTGTCTACGCCTCCGCTGTCGGACACTGGTCATTGACCAAGTGCCATTCCGCAGCCTCGTAGAGATCCTGGGAATGCTGGAGCTGGAGGCTGTCCGAGAGGTGAGGCTTCATCACAGGAGTAGCTTCTGCTTCCAGTCAGACCTAATCCAGTTCTTCACCCAGGTGGGGCAAATGAGCAGCCTGGGCAAACTCATCATGAGCGACATCCCCTGGGATTTCCCTGCTGACTGTTTCTCCCTGCTGAGTCCACTGGGCCACCTCCAGAAGCTCCATCTCATCTTCGGCTGTCTCTCGGGCCAGCTACATAAGATGCTCAGGTGAGTGTGTGGAAAGTCCCTCTGAAGGCACAAAAGCCAAGATCCCTGAACACTCCTCTAAGCATTGCTCTGTCAGAGCAGAGACAAGCCTGGACTGCCCCTTCCATGAGTTCCTGCAGAGTCACTGATGGACTTAGACTCCAAGGCTGAGGTCCTGGGCCAACCAACGGATGTTGGCTCTTAAAGAAGAGAAAGATACATGTCTGAGATTGGCATCTCATCCACTCATTCATTTGCTCATTCATTCATTCAAGCACTTAGTCCATGCCAAGCATAGAGCTAAGAATGGGTATAAAACCCTGAAAAAAATCAGACAGGGTCTTGTCTTCCCACAGCTTATAAGAGCTTACACAGAGCAGGGTGAATAAGGATAAGTTGAGAGGGTAGTATTTGAGGAAGGTAATTGCCCTCACAACATCTAAGCCCAGTTTATTTGGTCAACTCATTCCCCTCATTTATGTCTCACAGACTTCTCTGTGGCTTGCCCTGGAATAGGGAGCTGTTCTCCTGGGGCCTGGTCTTTGGGTTAATAGAAGCATGGGGAACCACCTTCCTAAACCTAACCCCTAAAAACCCAGCCCTTAGCGTGTGCAGGAGCTATATCTAAATTTCGTTAATTCCTACAACAACTTAGGGAGCATGAGTGATAATTGCATTTACATGGCTCATTAGGAAGCTGAGGCTAAGAGAGGTCAGTGTGCCTGACGCCATGCTCTGAAAACGGGAGGGAGAGGTCCTGTTGGGAATGGGAGCATGTTTGGCTCCAAGCTCTGTGTTCTTAACCAGTACAGAAGACTGGCTCCCACTATTTGCATCTAGACTGAGGTAGAGGCAGTGCAAATTTCTCAGGCTAGATTTCTGGACCTTTCCCTCTAGTACTCCACCCCAATTTCCAAGAAGTAACTGTGTCTTTCTGTGTCTCCACAGTGGCCTGCAAAAACCGTTGGAGACTCTGGTGATTAATGGATGTAGGCTTACCGAGAATGACATCACCTACTTGTCCCAGAGCATTCATGCCACCCGCCTGAAGGAGTTGGTCCTTTGTAGCAATAACCTGTCCCAGACGGTTCCTGGGCCCCTAGAGGTTCTGCTCAGTGAGGTCTCAGGCACCCTGCAGCACCTCAACTTGAGAAGCTGCCGGTTGAAGGAAGCCCAGCTCCGAGCCCTCCTGCCTGCCCTGTGCTGCTGCTCCCGCCTCCATTCCTTCGTGTTCTACGACAACGTCATCTCCACGTCAGGCATCATGAACGTGCTTCAGCATTTAGCGGGGCTGAAGGAGCTGAAGCGTGTGCAGTACCCTGTCCCTGCTGAATGCATTGTGTACTTGGACGAATACAGGTGGCGGAACCTCAACAGAGTGGAACTTGCCCGAGTACACACCAAATTGCAGGAAATGTTGCAAGCACTACAGCGGGCCGACATGGAGTTGACTAATTCTACCTTGATGGCGTGACTTATGAAAATGCACAGCTGACCTGATGGGGAAGAGGGGCAGCAGCAGGTCTTGGAGCTGTGGCAGTGGATTTCCTGAACGGGTGTGGCTTTAAAGAAAACTATCAAAACAAGAAACAGCACAGCGAACACTCTAATGGTGACTGCTATTTCTGGATAGAGTTGGGGCTCAATTATTCATGAAATCGACAGGCACTAGTGTTGTTCTAATGCTGGGGATAAAAAGAAAACCTCTCCAGCACTTGTCCTTCTGGTCTGTTTACCAGTTTCTCTTTCATTTTGCTTCCCACTTTGAACAACAAGCAGTTGGGTGAATGTCTTCTCAAAACACTCATTTATAAAGTGGACAAGTGAAATGTTAATCAGGGGCCGGCCCCGTGGCTTAGCGGTTAAGTGCGCGCGCTCCGCTGCTGGCAGCCCGGGTTCAGATCCCAGGCGTGCACCGACGCACCGCTTCTCCGGCCATGCTGAGGCCGCGTCCCACATACAGCAAGTAGAAGGATGTGCAGCTATGACATACAACTATCTACTGGGGCTTTGGGGGAAAAAAATAAATAAATAAAATTATTAAAAAAAATGTTAATCAAGGGAATAGATAAGTCAGATGCTCAGCACAGTTCACTCATTTATTCAACAACTGTTTGTTGACTTCCTGCTTTGCTCAGAAACTGCTCTCACTGGGAAATACAGAGGTAAACATTCAAGGTTTCTGCTTTCAAAGAACTTAGCTTTGGAGGCGCATGGAGACGAGTAAACAAGTCAGCAAACCAAAAAGAAAACTGATTTCGGAGGAGCACCGTGAGAACACAGCACGCCTGTATAACGGGGGCTGTGGGACTTGGGGGTGGGTGGCTGTGAGAGAACAGGAAACATATATTGGTCTCTGCCCAAGTTCCTGGCACAGAGCTCCCAAAACATTTGTAATTTCCAAGTTTTGAGAACACTAGGAGCATCTCTTGTTCTAACATTTGGTCTTTAACCCCATCCCTAACACAGGGCTACTAAGACCCTTGTAAATTTCTAAGTGAAAAGAACACTGGGAGCATCTTCTGTTCTAATGAGGCAACTCTAGGTGGGCTCCTGCATGGGAGCTGGTCACCTGAAAGACCAAGCCATGATTAGAAGTGGAATTTTCAGCCCCACCCCTCATCCTCCAGAGAGGGGAGAGGGGCTAGAAACAGAGTTAATAATTGATTATGCCTACGTGAGAGAGCCTCCATAAAATCCCAATACAGTCATCCCTCAGTATCTGCCGGGGACTGGTTCCAGGACCCTCCTCAGACACCAAAATCCACGGATACTCAAGTCTCTTTATATAAAAAAGTGTAGTATTTGCATATAACCTACCTGCACACATATACTTTAAATCATCTCTAGATTATATATAATACCTAATACAATGTAAATACTATGTAAATACAGGCATGCATCATTTAACGATGGGGATACATTTTGAGAAATACATCGTTAGGCAATTTTGTCGTTGTGTGGACATCATAGAGTGTACTTCACAAACCTAGATGGTATAGCCTACTACACACCTAGGCTATATGGAACTAATCTTATGGGACCACCATCATATATGCGGTCTGTCATTGAACAAAACATCTTATGTGGCACATGACTGTATATATAAATGTCCATTGACAGATGAATGGATAAAGAATATTACATTTTCTTTATCCATTCATCCACCAACAGCCATTTAGGTTATTTCCATATCTTGAATAATGCTGCAATGAACAAGGGAGTTCAGATATCTCTTTGCTATCCTGTTTTCAATTCTTTTGGATGTATACCCAGCAATAGGATTACTGGATCATATGGTAGTTCTATTTTTAGTTTTTTGAGGAACCTCCGTACTGTTTTCCATAACAGTTGTACTAATTTATATTCCCACCAGCCATGTACAATGGTTCCCTTTTTCCACATCTTCACCAACACTAGTTATCTTTTGTCTTTTGATAATACCCAGGCTAACAGTGATACCTCATTATAGTTTTGATTTGCATTTCCCTGATAATGAGAGATGTTGAGCATCTTTTCATATACCTGTTAGCCATTTGAATATGTTCTTTTGAGAAGTGTCTATTTAGATCTTTTGCCCATTTTTTAATCGAGTTATTTACATTTTTAGTAATTTGCATTCCTTATATATTTTGGATATTAATGCCTTATTGAATACATGGTTTGCAAATATTTTTTCCATTTTGTGGATTGCCTTTTCATTTTGTTGTTTCCTTTGATATGCAGAATCTTTTTAGTTTCATGTAGTCCCAATTGTCTATTTTTGCTTTTGTTGCCTGTGCTTTTGGTATCATATCCAAAAAGTTATTGTCAAGACCAATGTCAAGAAGATTTTTTGCTGTCTTCTTCTAGGAGTTTTATAGTTGCAGGTCTAATGTTTAATTCTTTAACCCATTCTGAGTTGATATTTGTGTATGGTATGAGATATGGGTACAATTTCATTCTTTTGCATGTGGATATTCAGTTTTCCCAACACCATTTGTTGAAGAGACTGTCCTTTCCCCATTGTGTGTTCTTGGCTCCCTTGCAGAAGCTCAGTTGGCCATAAATACGTTAGTTTATTTCTGGGTTCTCTATTCTGTTCAATTGGCTTATATGTCTGTTCTTATGTTGTTTTCATTGCTATGTAACATAATTTCAAGTCAGAAAATGTGATGTCTCCAGCTTTGTTGTTCTCACTCAAGATTGCTTTGGCTATTCAGGGTCTTTTGTCGTTCCCTATGAATTCTATTTCTATTTTTCTATTTCTGTAAAAGCTGCCATTAGGATTTTGATAGGGATTGCATTGAATCTGTACGTCACTTTCAGTAGTATGGACATCTTTTTTCTTTTGCTTTAATTAATAATTTTTTTTATTGAAGTATAGTTGACATACAATATTGTATTAGTTTCAGGTGTACAACATAGTGATTCAACATTTATATAGGGCGGGCCCAGTGGCTTAGCGGTTAAGTGTGTGGGCTCTGCTACTGGCGGCTGGGGCCTGCACCAACCCACCGCTTCTCTGGCCATGCTGAGGCCGCGTCCCACATACAGCAACTAGAAGGATGTGCAACTATGACATACAACTATCTACTGGGGCTTTGGG